GCTGCCCACCTACCCGGGCTCAGGGGTCTGCCCCACCCATTCCAGGGCAGCGCGGCCAGATGGCGCCTCTGGGAGCCTTCCTGCCTGACCTTGCTCAGGGGTCATGCCGGCCATCCCTCTGTCTTTGCCTTTGGAGTTCTCGTGGAAGCTTGGGATCTCTCTCTCACTCTCTCTCTCTCTGCCTTTTGCGGGGCCCTGGGGCTTGAGCTCAGATCCCCACTATGCACTTACTTACGGGGTGACCGTGGGCAAGTCACCTCCCCTCTCTGAGCCTCGGCAAAGTGCTGAAGAGTAGGGATGAGGGGCGGTGGGAAATCTGCAGGCTTGTGTAGTTAGAAGAGATTTCTCAGAAAAGTGGAGATCCCGAGGATACATAGATCAAGAGATATGGAGGGGGCAGCCCAGGGGGGTGTCTGGAGGAGAGGGAAATGTGAGGTGTTTGGGTGCATTGGGACGTGGGTGCTACCCAAGTGAGGGGGTTGCTGGGAACTGGTTGAGGGTCTCTGGCCTGGGTTTCTTGTAGAACTCTTGGGTTTGATGGCCTCTCTGTCTGCCCCCTGCCACCTGCATCATAGCATCTCTGACATGGTGCCATCACTGAACATTTAACATGCGCCACCCCCACCCCCATCCAGGTGTGAGCTCCGTGGGGTACAGGCTGCTCTGTTTGCTCACCCAGTAGCCTGGTGTCCGGCATGGCCTGGGACCCTCTGTTTGTCCAAGGCAAATTTGTCCGATGCAAGAATGATCAGCAAGTGGGTCCAGGTTGAGGCTGGATCTGTCTGCTGAAGGTGCTCCAAGGCAGGGTACCCTTTGGGATCTGGAGAAGGCAGGCACTAGGGAGCCATGGAGGACTCTAAACAGGGAGCTGATGAAATACTGTGATGTGGCATCTTTGTGGGTTCCCTCTGCCTCCTCTCTCACTTCCCTCCCCTTTGAACAGCTGAATCCTGACATGATTCCAGGTGTCCAGAATACAAGTTCGGAAGCACTTATGGGTCCACTGGGATGGGCCGAGTGTGAGTGAGATTTGGGAAGGGCAGGGCTAAGGGGGAAAAGAAAGCTCTTCTCACCGGAAATTCCACTGAATTGGCTTGAGATGTGTTATCAACAAGTAGAAAAGTTAGAGCGTAGGTTCCATGTAAGATAAGGAGCAGTCTCCTTGGAAGAACACACTGGAGTTTGAACCTAGCTGTGAAACTTAACCAGCTTTGTAGTCTTTCTGAGGCTCAACAGACTGATCTGTAAAATGGGCTAACCCTACTTTACAGGGTGTGTTGAAAGAATAAATGGCATGAAGTATTTCAAATACTCAGCACATAGTACGTGATCAACAACTGATAGGTGTTGTTCTTAGATCTCGCACAACAGAGAGAGGGAGAGAGGGAGAGAGAGAGAAAAAAAATGCTTAGTTCCCAGGAGTCCAGGCTTGCTCTCCTGGGTGCAGCTTCCTGGGGAGAAGCAAGGTGTTCAACTTAACACCTACCTGGCTCTGCCGAGTGCTAGCCCGTGACCTTGCCTGTCCCCCCTGCCCCCCAGGCATAATCTCTTTATTGGTGAGATAGGAATCCTGTGGCCCCATCCTCGAAGGGTCTGGGGAGGTTTAAATAAGGAACTACAAGGAAAGAGTGCGCTCCTGACCATTGGTTGTAACCCACTTCCAGGGAACTAAGCAAGCCGCTTTCCCATCGTGAACTCCAGCTTCCTCGCGGTATCCAGCATCACCGTCCCTACATAGGCCCTGGCTCAGAATCATTGCAAAGATGGCAAAAGGGGTCAGTGCACAGTCTTCTAAACTGTAAAGCGCCGGGTGAGGTTGGCCGGGCTCAGGTGGCCGTTCCTGGCAGCTGACCGGACTGGCCGGCGGGGAGGTGGCCGTGAGCTCCTGCACTCCCTGTACCCAGGTGGATCCCAGGAAGGGATCGTGGGCACAAAGTCTTGGGCTCTGCTTCTGCCCTCCTTTCTCCACCCACAGTCCCTGGGGCCCTCCCCAGCCCCAAGAGGGAGGGACGGCCAGCATTTACTGCCCACCTTCTGTATGCAGCAGGCTCTGTCATCAGCCCCATGCCACAGATGGGAAAACAGGCATTGCGTCTGAGATCTTGGAGCTGGGCTCGAGCCCCATGCTCTCTCCGCTGGGCCTGCGGACACCTGCTTGATTGCCAGAAGTGTACCCAAGCCACCAAGAACCTGATTTGCCTTCCTCAGAGCCCACGTTCCTGGGGCTTATCAGGCAGAGGCCAAAGTAGCTGCTCATGTTGCAAACACTTGTTCCACATGCCCCGCCAGTGACAAGACAACAGACGAGGCCGAGCCCTCAGGAATCCCCTGGCTGAGAGGCGTGCCAGGGTTTTTAAAGGATAGAAAAGCCATGAAACGGGCATTAAAAAAAAAAAAAAAAAGGAAAGCAGATGCCAGACAGATGTGCTTCCCACGCACACTGCAGCCATCTCAGGTAGTGGTGACAACAGGCTCTGTCCTTGTGAAAAGGGGCCAAATATTGACCAAGCATTCACTGCCAGAGGCAAAGTGATAGGACCAAAGGCACAGACACTTCAGGACCAAGCAGGTGAAGCCGGCCTGGGTTTCAGTCCCAGCTTCCCTTCTGAGCGCTGTGTGACCTTGGGTATGTCACTTAACCTCTCTGAACCTCAGTTTTCTCAGCTGCAGAAGAGAGTCATCATACCCATCTTATAGGATTTATTCATATATAATAGGGCATAGCATCAGTGCCGACATATTGTAGGTACTCAGTAAACGTTCGTTCCCTTCCCCGTATTATAGAGGCTTTAGCAATCTAAGGATACGAAACTTAACCGGTGTTCACCCTACAGATCAGGCCGATGGAAGGAACGATGACACAAAATGAGATCCTGAGGCAGGAGGGCTACATCCCAGACAGAGGAGGCTTCAGACTTGGGGTAGCCAAGACAGGGAAGGTGGGGGCTTGGGAAGACCCCAGATGGTGTCAGACTGGAGGAGAGGCTGGTCAGGGTGGTAACTGAAAGGCCAGTGGAAAGGGGTCATGCAGCAAGTGGAGACGGGCGGTTAAATGAGATCCCTGGTCACTCTGGGGTGACTCTGGACCTGAAGAGGTCTGTCTCCACGGGGCCTGGGGGCATCACAGCCCAGGGACCGGGTGCTGTCACAGTCTGCGGCCGGAAGGCCTGAGCTCCAAGCTTGGTTCTGCTGACCTTGGACAAGACTGCTTCACTTCTTCCAAGGTTGTTTCCTAAACTAAAATGAGGATCATTATACTACTTATCTTGTAGGGTTGTTGCAAAAAAAAATAGATACATAAAGGAGAAAAGAAAAGAAGAGTGCCAGGCAGGTGGTAAATGCCCTGAAAGTAGCGGTTATTAGTGTGTTGCTGGTGTTGATGGACCCGGGGTTGGCAGTGGCCGGGGGAGGGGGAGTCTGGAGGGAGGAGTTTCAAAGGGAATGAATGAGGATGAGGGCAGGGCGAAGAGCCAGGGCAGGTGCAGTGTGGGAGGGTAGCTGGGTCTCTAACTAAACCTTCATTTCCTTGCCACTGTGGGGAGGAGATCCTTTCATGGGAACCGTGGCTCTACACAAACCTGCCCAGGTCGGGCACGTTGGCCTCAGTTTCCCCAGCAGGAGGCAAGGCTTGGGAGACAAGCCTGTAATTTGTGTCTGCTTGGGTTTGTGTTGAAGGCTGCACGTTGCCAGCTTCCCTGCAACCCCACTGGTGCAGCCAGCTTTGATGGGTTGGGGCCCACGCCCTCCCCACCCACTGTCCCTGTGGGGGCTGCAGAGAAGGGAAGGAACCCAAACGTTCACCAAAGTCTTATTTCACTTCATCACCTGAGGACAGCCGGGGGGCGCTTCCTGGGGTTAAGTGGGGAGATCATAACTTCCGAACCCCAAATCAGGGCTCAGGACCTAACAGAGGAAGCTTTCGGAGTCCTGAAAATTCATTTATTTGGAGACGGAAATACAGTGATAGCTGTTATATCAAATCCAGTTTAGTTATTGATTTGGTGAATCGCTTTATTGAAAAAAAGCAAACAAGGGGAAAAGTGCGGAGTCCACTGACATGAAAACCCAGTGATGTCCCTTCCTTTCTTCCTCTCCTTTTCTTCATTCTTTCAGTTGGATACTGCCAAATCCCCATCTATAAGCTTGCACACTTTACATTCCTGCCAGCCATGTGGGGAGTCCCTCTCTGTTCTCTCACAGTCTTACCAAAAGTGGTGTTAGCAGATCTTTAAAATCTGGTCCATCTGATAAGTGAGAGATGGTATCCTGGTGCAGTTTGAATGGGTCATAAATGAGGTTAAGCACCTCTTCATAGGTTTATGAGCCATCAGTATTTCTGTTTCTTGTGAATACCTGTCATATTCTTTACCCATTTTTAATATTGGTTTGTTGGTCTTTTTCTTATTGATTTCTAGGAACTCTTAATATATTAAGGATACTATTTGTCATAGGAGACCGTATTGGTTTGCTCGGGCTGCCATGACAAAATACCACAGATGAGGTGGCCTCAACAACAGAAATCTGTTTTCTCCTGGTTCTGGAGCCAGAAGTCCAAGATCAAGGTGTCGGCAGTTTTGTCTCCTCCTGAGATCTCTCGCCTTGGCTTGCAGATGGCCGCCTTCTCTTTGGGTCTTCACAGGGTCTTTCCTCTGTGCACACACATCCCTGGTGTTCCCTGTGTTTCCCAATTTCCTTTTTTTATAAGGACACCAGTCAGATTGGACTAGGGCCCACCCTAACGGCCCTACTGGAACTTAATCATCTCCTTAAAGGCCCCATCTCCAAATATGGCCACAGTCTGGGACACTGGAGGTAAGGGCTTCCCAAATATGAATTTTAGGAGGAACACAATTCAGCCCATCACAGAGTCCTCCATATTTTTTCTCAGTTTGCCTTTTATTTATTTTTTTAACCTTGTGTATTTTCTCTTACTGTATTGTAAAGCCTCCTCAAATGCCTGAATTTGAGTATCTGAACTCAGGACTGATCCAGAAAAATGAGTGTTCTCTTTGCCTTATTCCCCACTTTGCCCTCTGAGCGAGTTTGGTCCAGGGGGAAGGGTGTGGCAGACTTGGGGGTCACTTTGACCTGGCCTGAAGTCCTGGTGCTTTATAGGCTGCAGGATGACCTTGGGCGAGTCACTCTTTCTGAGTCTCAGGATCTCACTTCTTAGAAATGACACTGTTAACAGCTCGCTGGCCGGCCTGCTCTGAGGATAAAATTAGATGATGTCTATAAAACGTGGAGCTCTGGGGCGCCTGGGTGGCTCAGTTGGTTAAGCAACTGCCTTCGGCTCAGGTCATGATCCTGGAGTCCCGGGATCGAGTCCCGCATCGGGCTCCCTGCTCGGCAGGGAGTCTGCTTCTCTCTCTGACCCTCCTCCCTCTCATGCTCTCTGTCTCTCATTCTCTCTCTCAAATAAATAAATAAAATCTTTAAAAAAAAAATACAAAACAAAAACGTGGAGCTCTGTGTCTGGCCCACAGCAGAGGCTCAATATGCTGTAGCTGTTGTGATTTTCTTTATGGAGAACAGCTCGTGTTTACCAAGCATCCAGGATGTGCAAGGCATGGGGGCAGGGGGTGTCCGTGTGTCCACTCTCAGGGGCTCCTGGTCTAGAGGGGCAGCTGGAACACATGGGCCGGGCTCCCACTGTTCTCCAAAGCTGGACTGGGGAAGGGAGGCAGGCAGGGGTGTGCTGGCTCAGATCTGAGTCTCTGGGGTGGAAGAGGGTTGCTGCTGGTGGGAGGGAGGTGCGAGGGGGAGTGCCCCCTATGCACAGGAGTAGGAAAATGGAGACCACCCTCACGGGATGGGGTCTCTTTCCACTTCAGAAAGAAGGGAAGTGGTTGAGAGTGAGGGAGTCTGTAGGGGTAACAGAATCCTCTTCTCCTGAAGCAAGCTGACCACATGAGGGTTTGATGGCATTTGCTTGCTGAGTGAGCGGCCCCATGAGCAAGCAAATGTCCAAGTGGTGCATTAGTGCTCAGCGTGTGGGCTGGGCGTCCCAGCTGCGGATGAGCTTGCATGAGGGAGAGCACAGCCTGGCACTGACCCCTGAGGACCTGAGAAGGGTGTGTTCTAGCAGGAGTAAGGGATGACCAAAGTCATCAGCAGGATGGTGGGGATTGGTCCAAGGGACCACAGTGGGTAGAGGCAGCTCAATGAGACAATGGGAAGGAAGGAACCTCCGTGCCTAGTGCTTCGTCTCATCTAATGCTTGCTTCCAACCTGCAGAGTGGGTGTTATCGGTCCTGTTGTGCCTAGGAGGAAATTGACACAAAGGTGAAACCATTGCTGAAAGTCAAATTGGGGAACAGGTAGGGCAGCCGGGCTTAGAACCAGGGTTCTCTCCATGCATCCCGGTGCTAGTTGGGGAAAGGGTCTCAGACAGGGGGTGATTGAGGGGACAGGAATCCTTATGTCAGGCAGGGTTTAGTGCTCCCAAACCATAACCATCTGCCATGCCAAATCCTCTCCTTTCCCACAGAGGGTGGATTTGGCTAAGCCCGTGTGGGGTTATGGTGTGCCCTCTACAGCTCCCTTCTTAGGAGAAAAGGGCCCCTTCCTGTCTACCTGGAAGTTCACTTTGTACCTTCACCCTCATGACCTGATGGGGGTAGAGCATGCTGGGTCTCACCTTTGCCCCCCACCCCTGCTGATGCAGAGGAGAGCAAGGGCCCCGCTTTCTCCATTCCCTGTGGTGGGAGGGGGCTGGGTGGGCAGGGAACTCTTACCATCCCTGGGGTCCGGGTGCCACTCCGAATTATTCTGTTTGGCTGCGGATCCCCGGGCTGGGTCTTCTCCCACATGTCCCTTGTTCTCCCTGCGCCAGGTGGGCCAAACACATTCATCGCATGTATTATAGGAGCATCAGCTCTCCTTTTAAAAGATCACATTCTTGGGAGGAGACCCACCAGCTCAACACCGTGGACCAGAAAGTCTCCCAGGGCTGGTGGAGACCTCAGGAGTCCAGAGGGTCCACCCTGCTGCCTTTGGGTTGGGGGCAGGGCGAAGAGGCAAGACACCCTCTGAACTCCAAGGAGGGTCTCCGCTGCTCCTGCCATGTCCCTCCATGTCCCTCTGCCCGCCGTGGAAGAGCATCTGGCCGTTAACTTATATATAATAACCCTTAAACACTGCCATTAAGTCACCTCTCGTTCTTTTAAACTACCCAGGAAGGGAATTCAGGGTGATATATGGAGGCTTTTATGGCTGGTACTGGGCAGCTTAAGGACTTAGCAGCACGCTGAACACACACATTGTTGCATAAATAAGAATCACTATGATATCAAAGCATCACTCAACTCGGCGTCTGGGCTTCTTAGCAGCACTGAGCTCTTCCCTGTGCCCCGAGTCACGGCCATGACACTGAGGACAGGCAGATCCAGAACTGGACCACTGGATCTCCATGATGCCACCCCAGCTGGAGGCACCAGGAGACCCCGTTCCTCTGTCTCCCCCTCCTAGTCCTCAATTACCCTTCATGTTGCGTAAGGGACAGGGGATGGAAGAGAAAAGGCAGTGCCTCTATTGGAATTAACCTAGTACGCCGTACACGTGTTCTCCCAGCAGAGTCTCGCCTTTACCCAGTAGGAGAGGTGTCCAGTAACATGTTCAAGGTCACCCAGCTCGTCAGTGGCAAAGCTGGGGTTTGAACCCCGCCTCCGTGCCTTGCCTGGAAGGTGGTCTGTAAGAAATACGGGGCTCTTGGGCTGGAGCTGGGATGGGGGCGGGTACCGGTGGACAGCTCGGGCTCCGTGGGGGTTATAAAGGCAGGACAGGAGACGGAAAGGGAGAGCTCAGGGCTTATCAATGGGTTTGCAGCCGAGGGAACTGCTTACCCAGCGGGTGCACTCACAAACAAGCAAATGGACAGTGTTAATATTTAATGAGCGATGCTGGCTGTGGGAGAGTTGCTGTTTACTCAGCCATTCTCTCTGACCTCCCTCTGCAGAGGGCTCGGGGCCCTGCGGGCAGGGCCCACGTGAAGGCATGTCCGCAGGCACGCCAAGCCCTGGGGGCGCCTGGCCCCAAGTTAGGTGCTGGGTGGAGGAAGAGCAAAGAGCTGAAGTCGGGTCCCCATGCTTAGGGACTTCCATCTCTGCCTGGGAGCAGCTGAAGACAAAGCCCCAACAACATTTCCTCCTTCTTGCTTTCCTGTAGTCCCCCTCCAGCCCTCTCTCCTACACCGTCTGAGATGCCGGAGTCTCCTGGTTATGCTGATGTCTCCTGCTCTTCCCCATTCACAAAGGCATCCCACGGGTTCAGGAGTTCATTCCATTTTCGTGGGAAGACCTCAGGGAAATCATCCACCTCCTCTGCTATTGCCACCATCCTGAGGACGGTGGCGCAGGTGGCCACGTTAGCGGGTGTCTTTGCTTATGGCTGAAACACCTCTGCCCCCGCACGGCGGCCCCCAGCCCAGGGTAGGGAGTTCTCACAGAGCTAGTTACATCTGACTGACAAACAGGGAAGATGAGCTTGTTGCCAGGGAGTATATGTTGCTGCTTGTCTGGAGGGGAGAGCCAGCTTTGCCAACCCCAGAGTGCTGGGGAGGGAGGAGAAGGCTGCAAATGGGCTTCCTGGTGCTAAAGAATTTGGGGTGCACTGTGTGGGTGCTTGTTGCTTATCGCTACAAGCCGTCTGCCCGGTGGCTGGGAGTGTGTGGGCTCTAAGCCAGGAGTGGAGCAGGGTCTTTATGAGTGGGGGTGGCACCAGGAGAGGTTCAAGAGCCGTGACAATAAGGCATCGCAGCTAATGGCTAGGGGCCTGGCCTTGGGGGCGCAGGGCTCCGTGCTCGAACCCAGGCTCCGTCGCGAGCCCGGCACTCAGCAGCTCCCCCCGCCCCCAATCGCCGGGGACTGGCAGTGCGGATGCTCTCACAGGTAAGACACAGTTGGATGGCCCCGGATGGGCAAAGGCATAGCTGAACCTACATGCCGCGTCTGGGGAACCCTATTCCAGCCTGAACGGGTGCAAGCAGAGGGCAAGGGGAAGCCAAGGTTGGAGAGGGAGGTTGGGGACCAGATGTCCCGCTGAGGACTGGGGTCTTAGGGGCAAAAGGGAGCCAATGACCATTTCTGGGTAGGGATTCTAAGAATAAAACAGACAGGCGACTCTCTAATGACCACCTTTGAATCCGTGCTGGCTGGCCACCAAAGACCCATTTGGGACAAGACAGAAAGACACAGGGTTCAGGGTTTAGAGAGTCTGATTCAATCAGTCAAAATACCTGTTAGGTATCGAATATCTTCTAGTTGCTTGATTTTATTCTAGGTGCTTTACTTTTTTTTTTTTTTTAAACCTCATATAATCATCACAACCATCCTATGGGTATAAGTACTATTAGTGTCTCCATTTTATGGGGGTAAAGGAGGGGTGTTGAAGCACAGAGAGGTCAAGTGATTTGCCCAAGGTTGCACAGCAGCAATTGTCAGAACAATTTGAACCCCGGCTGCCCGATTCCAGAGTTCATGCTTTTAATCACACACAATCATGCTTTCTAATCCTGGCCATTATGCAGGCTGGGGAAATTTTACTTTATCCTTCCCCCTTCCATGATCTATCAGGCTGCAGATTTGGGACCCACTGGCATTATGTACAAAGTGCCCTTGCATTCAGAGAGGGGAGAGGTTAGAGTAGGTGGCATCATAAGGAAGGGCTTCCTGGAGGAGGTGGACTTAAGGGGGTCAGGTTGGGGTGGATGCAGGGAGGAGGGCATTCCAGGTGAGAGGCTCAGCTTGAGCACATACAGGAATGAGCAGATGTGCAGGGCAATGGGAGTGGTTGCACGCAGAAGTGCCTGGGAGGTGAGGCTGGGCGCAGAGTGGACTCTGAAGGCTCCGGAGAAAATTCTGTCTATGTGAAGCATGTGCGGGTCGTGGGATTTCAAGACCCCTTCTTTTCCAGAATCTCCCCAGGCTCCATGAGAATGTGTCCATGGTGCAAAGACCAGCCCAGAATGGGCACACCTGTCACTTCACTTAGAAATGATTCTCCTCACGAAGACTCCTGGCCTCCCTCCCATCAGAGGGCTGTGGAGACAGACAGAGTGGAGAAGCTGGGGCTCTCCCAGCAGCATGGAGGGGAAATCGCTCTCCTCTCTGCTCTGGACCAGGAAGCACCTGATGGTCCATGAAATGCCGGCAAGGGTAAAAATACCAACCGGAAAGTAATAGCTGTGCCAAGGAAGTGGCTAGCAGAGCTGTTAAGAGCCCAGTCCTCAGCGATGGAAAGTTCTGGGTTCTGCCACACGCTAGCCATGTGGCCCGTTCCACTGACTCTTCCTCTCCGAGCCTCCTTTTCCTCTGCCGTAAACTCAGGGAACTCACATCACTTGCAAGGGTGAGCTGATGCACAGTGCTCATCCCAGGCACTCAATAAACAAAAGCCATTCATATTGTTTCTTGCCACCAGTTCTCTTGATCACCTGCCAAACCACCATTCTCACTCTTTACTCTTTTTTAACAAGACTTTAGTTTTGTTCAGGAATTCACCTTTCTCCATGTGGACATGGACTTCACCGAGGTGGCACCACCTCCAGCCCCAAGAGCCGAGTCGTGATTGGTCTCAGGCTAAGCCAGTCTCGGCTGTCCCCTTCCCTCTGCCAGAGATGGGTGAAATCACAGGCACCTGACAGGGTTCTGGCCAATGAGAGGAAATCTGCAAGGGGGCTTCCAGGAAAAGCTTATGTCAATCAACTAACAAAAGGGGGCACATGGGAAGAAATGGTCCCTCTTCTTTCTAGGATAGCAGTTGATGGCTGGAATGGTTGCAGCCATCCTGTAACCATGAGGGGAGTTAGGCTAACGGGCTGAGAGGGGCAGGGAAGAAAGGTAATGAGACCTGGGACCTCGATGAGGGCCTGGACCACTGAACTAGTCAGCCCTAGGAGCCCCCTCACTCAGGACTTCTTATGTGAGACTGTACATTTGCAACATTGTTTCAGCCAAGTCAAGTTGCGGTTTCCTGTTACCAGAGCTGGAAGTATCCACCTTACACCCTGTATTAAATAATTAAAGTTGGTTAAGCACATGAGTGTCCTGGAAGAAGGCACTTATGTACGTATAATCTCATGTTATCCTCACAATAATACAACAGAATTGGCATCTCCCTTTGCCTTAGTTAGCTTGGACTTCTGTAAAAAAACACCATAGACATTGGTTTTGCTCATGGTCTCCAGTTTCTGGAGAAGCTCTCTTCCGGGCTTGTAGATGGCCACGTTTCTCTGCACCCACATGCCCTTGCCTCTGCAGGCTCATGGGGGGAGAGATCACCCCATGATCTCATAAGGCCACCTGTCCTATTGGATTAGGACCCAACCCTATGGCCTCACTTAACCTCAATTTTTTAATTACCACTAACAGCCCCATGTCCAAATATGTCACACTGGGGATCAGGGCTTCCTTTATATTAGTTTTGGGGGGACACAATTCAGTCCATAGCAGAACTGTACACACAAGAACATTTAGGCACACAAAGGTGACATGACTTACCCCTCACACAGTTTGTGAGGGGATGGAGCTGGGATTGAACATAAGTCTGTCTGAATTCCAAGGTGTGTGCCTTCTGTATTAGTCAAGTGTCTCCAGGGAGTGTGTGTGTGGTGTGGTGTATATGTGTATTGTGTGTGTTGTGTATGCCTTGATGCCCAGGTCAGCCCACTCTGAGACATATTGGGTTTATTAATTTTTCTTATTTTTAAAATCAGCTTCAGCTGAGGTATAATTTACCTACAAAAATCCCTAGTTTTAATTGTCCAGTTACAGGACTTTTGACAAATGTGTGCATTCGTGCAAACAGTGCCACAATCAA